TCTAGTTTTAATGCTGCCATTGTTTCTTTTTTTTGTCAATCAGTGTGAATGTTCACATTTCACATTGTTTGAAAATCTAAGAAATAAGTGTTGGAATATAGATATGGACATAGTTATATATTTTGCAAAATGTGAATGTTCACATATCATTGGTTATTTTTTACTATACTTGTTCGAACAATTTTTTTTTTTTTTTTTTTGGCTGCCATTAAACAATTGGAATAGTTTTTTCTTCTTCTTTTTTCCTTTAATTTTGTTTCATGTTTTCATTTTGCAATGTGAATGTTCACGTTGGTATGAATTTAGTTTTTCTAAAGTTAGTTGTATCTTAATTGTAAATTATGAACATTCACATTGCATTTTGGTACTAGCTTTTTTTTTTTTAATTTTTTTTCAGAAGTTAGTTGTATGTTTATTATTTTTGTTACTATACTTGTTGGTTGAACAATCTTTTTTGTTACCATTGAACAATTGAAATGGTCAATTTTCACTTTTTTTTCAATTCTATTTTATGTTTTCACGTTGAAATGTGAATGTTCACATTGGTACAAGTTTATTTTTAAAAAAAAACTAGTTGTATATTAATTGTAAATTATGAACATTCACATTTTACTTTAGTGTAAGTCTTATTTTTTCAAAAGTTAATTGTATGTTTGTTGTTTTTGTTACTATACTTGTTAGTTGAACAATCATTTTTGTTACAATTGAACAATTAAAATAGTCAATTTTCATTTTTTTCGATTTTGTTTTATGTTGTCACGTTGCAATGTAAATGTTCACATTGGTATGAGTTATTTTTTTTAAGGCTAATTGTATGTTAATTATAAACTTTGAACATTCACATTGTATTTTGGTATGAGTTTTACTTTTTCGAATGTTAATTGTATGTTTGTTGTTTATTGTAAACATTCACATTGTACTTTAATATGTATTTTATTTTTTCAAAAGTAATTTGTATGTAAACGTTCACATTGTATTTTGATTTTTATTCAGATTTTTTGTTGCGTTATTTTTAAAATTTTCACATTATAAAATGATTCAAAATTTATAATTTGAGATTTTCTCCTTAGAATGAGGGAGAGGTTTTCTTCATAAATGAGGGACTATTGTTAGTTTTTATTGTGTATATATTAGTTTCAAAATGGAAATATGTGCAAAAACTTAGAAATGGTAATTTGGTCATATTACATTAAACAAGATTTAATAGAATATTAAAAAAGAATATGAGTTAGATAGAATAAATATTTAGAAAGAGGAATAATTATAAAAAATGATAGAGAAAAGACCATACTAATCAAGTAGAATAAGTAAATTAGGTAGGATAATGGAGGGTAAAATAGCAAATCCGTTTCTAATACTAAAGGATTGTTTTTTTAATATCATCTTTCATGAGGGACTACTAATCTCAATGATAAAGGCCTATCATAGTCTCAAGGTATTGTGAATTCCCTTTTCTACTTTGTAAACAAATACAATATTAATAGACCATACATCCATCCTAATCCAAACTCATCTCCTATAATCGAAAACAAACGAACCCTAAAAATGTAATGCTCTAGTTGGTGTTCATAAAAATGAGTTAAAAATATAGACTCAATTTGATTTCAATTTCAAAATTAGTTTTTAAATTTTTTTCTTAACAAAATAAACATTAAAACCATTATTTTTAACCTCCCAAAAAGTAAAATCGTATAAAAATTATGAGTGCTTTTTATTTATTAATTTTTTTACTAAATTAGTTTTTAATTTTTGTTAAATTTTTTTTATGAAATAGATTATAAAAATCAAACAACAGAGCGGTAAATTACAAGTACATTCCTTAAGGTTTATTTAAAATATAGACTGCCTATTGTAATTTTGAAAATTACATCATGTCCTTTCAAATTTCTAATATCATAACAAATTATTCTTTTTATTAATGAATCATGAATTTAGCAATTTTTAATGATATAAGAAATATATTTTAATTAATAATTTAAATAATTTTATTATTATATAAAAAAGTAGTTAAAATTTTATTTTTTCTATTAATTTTATTAAGTAAATAATTCATATTTTAAACAAATCTCAATAATATATTTGTAATTTACCCAAACAGAGTCACAGTGTTTAATTGGTGTTCAGTCTCATGTTTGACAAAAATAAGCAAGTAAGAGCATTAGCATCAACCTCTCTACAATGGTTTTAAAGCTATTGTAAAGAGTATCAACATCAGATATGTGGTCCATCAGACTCGTTATACCCTTCGTTCATTTTGCCAACGCTACAGTTCCTTCCCTGATGAAGCAAGCCACTGTTCATTGTTACAACAAAGTAGATTAGGTGTTACCGGATGTCCGCCAGAAAGTCCAGCCGGTCAACCGGTCAACGACAATTTTTTATTTTTTTTTATTACTTGTTAGACATTTCCTCCAGTTTTACCTTTGTAAAGGAACATAAAAATTGTTTAACTGACAGCTCATCAATTTAATAAAAAAAGAAAGAATAACAAATACAATAAGAAAATAAAATTTTAATAGGATTGAGTTAGAATACAAAGTTTGATGCAGTTGATACTAAAAAAGTGACTAGCTACAATAGAAAAATAACTTTTAAGTTATAATGTGACTAAGAATTTGAAGAGACTGGTGTGGATGCTCTAACTAGCTATTTTGTAAAAGGATTCAACTTTTCTCAAGTTTCGTCTGAATTAAACTTAATTCAGAGGTGTTTTGAAAAGATGGTAAAAAGTTAACATTTTGGCTTTTTTAGTTTTTTTTAACTTTTTTTGTGTAAAAAAATAGAGAGATGATGTGACCGAAAAAAGCTAAAAAGCCGAAAAAAGCTAATCTTCCCAAATTGTCCATCAATAATTTAAACCGTTCATCTTATACAAGTAACTAAAAAAATTATCAATGTAAAAATTCAAGTTAATTCAACATCAATTATCATACTATTACACCATTTGTATCCATACGACTTATATATTTATAAGAATAGGTCGTCCGTGTTATATTATGTATGTGATTTGATAATATGATTACTTATATCTAATCAATCAAATTTTTACATGCATCTTCTTTATTAGTTTGTCATATAAGGTGAACAATTCAAATAATTAATATAGATAAGGGTGATAAATGAACCAAATAGTTCGAGTTCGACTCATGTTCGAATTATTAAAAACTCATTCAAGCTCAGTTCGTTAAATAAATAAGTCAAGCTTAAACACATTTTAAATTTCATTAAAATTTTCAAACCAAGTTTAAACAATCAATTGCCTGTTCGACTTAGTTCAATAAGTCTAAAATTATATAAAATATCAAACTATTCGAATTCGGCTCGATAAACACTAATGTAAAATCGACTCAAAAGTTTAACAAATCAAACGTTAATAAATTTTAAAATTTATTATAATTATCAAATTAAATTTAAACAACCCGTTCAATTCATTCATCACCCTTGAATGTAGATACAAATTAATCCTACAACATGCTAATTTCGTCCATGGAGTAATATCTTCAACTCTAATAAATCTAAATTTCATTCAATTGTATCAATTAGGGTATTGAGGCCTCGTTTTGGAACATATTTTTTTATTAGTTTTTTAGTTTTTTGACTAAAATATAGTGTAAAAAAAATTAATATGTTTGGGATGATTTTTTTATTTTTTATGAAAAGATGTGCAAAAAGTAAAGAGAAAATGGAATCTTTGGTAGTGTTTGGTAAAGTTTTCTAAATATGATTTGAAAATAGGCGTTGTATTTTGAGTTTGTGAGTTTTAAAATTATGATTTGAGCGTGAAAAATTTATTTGGTGAAATGAGTTTTGAATTGAGTGGAGAATTTTTAATGTGACATATGATATTTGATACAAAAACTTATAATTTTTAACCAAACACACAACTCAAAATTTTATTAAAAGCTCATAAAAAAATTTTAAAAAATTCAGAGAATATCTTTTATTGAATATATAAAAATTAACATGTGTCAATTGCCAAAAAAAAAAAAAAAAACACTGTTTCGGTCAACCGACTGAACGACCAGTGGGACGTTCGGTTAGTCCAAATTTTCTCGCCCCATAGGTAGAATTTTCAAAATTGAATGTGGAATTAACTTTTAAAAACCATAAATAAACGTCAAAGGCAAATAAAGGTGTAGGATTATATTTAGAAAACACAACCAAACACAGCCTTTGACTTTTTTGTATAAGTTGTTGGCTTTTTAATTTTTTTAATGACTTTTTGACTAAAAAAGCCACATGCCAAATGAGGCCTGAGTCGCCATCAAGACGCGGCACATTAGATTCTTACATTGTATTTGATTAAGAAATTTAAGAAGAAATTTTTTTTAAAAAAAAGAAAAAAAAGTATGTAAAATATGCATAATATATATATATATATATATTCATCTAATTTTACCTACTTTTTTTTTTCTTTTTATATTTTTCTCAAATCCCTCAATCAAATACAACATTAATAACTCTACCAAAGGACGTTCATACATCTTGACCGTATTCAATCCTTGCTCTTCCTGCATGTATTTGATTGAGAGATTTAACCCTAAAAAAAGGTAAATTACACTTACACCCCTTAAGGTTTGGATTTAATACATATGACCCCTGACGTTTGGAAAATTACAGTACCCTCCATATCATTGTAATTATTTAGACGGAATGAAAATATTGAACTCATGCACTTTCTTTTTTTTTTGCTTTGCTTTACTTTCTCTTCTTTTTTTTTTCCCATTTCCTTTACTTTGTTTTTTAATGTAATTTTCTCTGTTTTTCTATTAGGAATTGTTACCTTTTATATAAGTAGGGAGTTTATGAAATGAGACTATTAACCACATAGGTGGGAATGTAATTTCCAAAACATCAATGGGCGAATAATAATTAGACCAAATCTCAAGGGGTGCCAATATAATTTATCCCAAAAAAAATTAAAATTAAAACAAACAAAAAAAAAACAAATGATAAATAAAATATATTTACCTCACAGACCTTTTTTTTCTTTCATTTTAAAAATTTTTCCCAAATCCCCCTCTAAACGCAGCATCTCTTCATAGCCATGTCAGAGGCCACCTCAGCCGCCGGAGCGCCGTCCGCCAATGTATTCCGGCCGCCAACCGCCATGATTCCCGGCGCCACCCCGTCCTCCGCATCCAATGTCAGTCAAGCCTTTCAATTCTCTTCCGGAAACCCCAGAATTGAAGAAACCAGAGGCTTCATGCACCTCTACCGCAACGATTTCGCATCATCGTCTCCTGAACTTCCTGTAAATCTTAGTCTCTTCTTTGTTCTTCAAATTCTGAATCGTTCAAATTTCGTTCTTGATCTGCATCGAGTTGTTATGAAAACCAGAAAATTTTGATACTTTGTTCTTTTAGCAGAACTGTGGACGCTTTATTTGTTTTGACAAGAAGATGTAGGGATTTATGTACGTGGTTAAATGTTAAAGAGTCTGTTTGGTTGCTGAGAAAATGTGGTTGAATGGAAATTTATTATTGGACTTGAGGAAATTATTTCCTATACTTGTATTCAAGATTGACAAATTAACAATATTCTTTTTGTGTGAAATTTATTTGGTTTTATATTCCACTGTTTTCTTTGCAATTCCAAAAGGATTTTGAAACCTTAAAAGTTTGATGCTGTATGGAAGCACTTGATTGGGGTTTTTAGTATTAGGAATTGTTCCACTTTGGTTGAATGCATTAACTTTGGAAACGAATTTGTTCATATTAACCATCTGTCTGGTTGCCAATAAAACTGAGGAAAAAGAGAAGGCAATAAAACTTAGATCAAGCTTTGTCAGTTAGATTTTTGCATTGAATTAATGTTTAAGGCTAAAAAATAGCTACAATTTCTCAGCAAATAAGTAAAGCATAATTTGCCTTCACTTATCAATCGTTCAAGTGAAAATTCAAATTTTTATGGAAACTTGAAAATTTGATGCATGATAAATGGCCAAGTAGGACTATTTTCCCCTCTTTTCAAGAACTACTCATCTTTGTTTTAGGCTTTATTGCTTTCAAAATTGAAGTGTTTCTTTTTCATTTATGACTTGGGTAGAAGCATGTAGAATTATTTTAGAAACTTTCATGTTTGATGTTTATAAAGGACTACATTAGGCTTTTCTGCTTCTTATTCAATTGTCCCACAAAAAAAAAGCCTATCTACTTTTGGAAGACAAGATCATGAGGTTGAAGAATTTACTGATTGTCTGTGTATCTTTCTAATGCTATTAAGGTTGGAAGGAAAACTATGGTTTGTGTGCTTGGAGTGCCAAATCACATGACATATGCAGATTTCTGTCAGTTTTGCTCTTCATTCATTCATCACATGTTGGAAATGCGAATTGTCAGGTTCAATTTAAAATTTATTACTTTTTAGTATTTTGTTGGTTTTGGTTTTGGTTTTGATTGTTTTATGATTTGCTCGAGGGTTTAGGAATGATGGAGTGGAGGATAGGTATAGTGTCTTGATAAGGTTTGATGATCAGAGCTCAACTGATGCTTTCTACAAGCATTTCAATGGGAGACGTTATTCATCTCTTGAGGTTTGCTTTGTTCTTATAAAAAATTTGTCTCCAAAAAGTTGTTATTTATTATCCTTGTATGTGTTTTTTTTTTAATTATTATTTTTGTGTGTTTGAGTACAGGTAGAGGCTTGCCGTGTACTTTTTACGATTGATGTACAGTACACTGGTTTAATTGAACATGCACAAACCTCGCCTGCTAGCTCCACAGAGCAGCCCACATGTCCAGTCTGTCTTGGTGAGTTTCTGATCCTTGATTTCACAAACCGATATTCGTTTCTTGTAGTGCAATGAAGGTTGTTGCATTCTTTAGAAAGATTGTAGCTTGTGAACAGGAATGGCAAAGTTAATAGAAACACGTGGGTATATTATATCATAATTTTTCAACTAATTAAAAAAGAATAAGGAAAATTTTTGGTACATTGACATATATATATATAAGAAATAATAAAATAAGAATTAACTGTAATCTGCTGAGTGTTTTATTTTGTCTGGTATTTTCTCGTTTCACTTTTGGATCTGCCTCCAGGTTAAGAGGCAATGGGGTCTATTGGTTTGCACTCTGTTTCATGGTTAGTGATGTACTTAGAGTAAGTAGTATTTTCTATTCAGACCTGAGGGATCTCTACTAGTATAGGAATTGATATTTAAGAATTCTATAGTGCAGTTGTTTGGCCCAATCCAAACCTCATCAGGGTTATTTAAAATCCTGCTAATCTTCTTCCCTCATTAACTACATTGATTTATTTAAGGTTTTTTCAAGCCACTTGAAGTTGTGGAATAGGAAGCTGATCTGTAGCTTTACAGTTTGGATTTCACTTATTTTTCTCCTTTGTTGCAGAGAGATTGGAGCAAGACATGAGTGGAATTCTCACAACTATCTGCAATCATTCTTTCCATTGCTCTTGCATTTCTAAATGGGCAGATTCTTCTTGTCCCGTAAGTAACTTAGATCTTCTTGGCATGATTTATTTATTTATGTTGGCCAAGTACTTTAAGACGTTACATGGGGAAAATGAACTTAGATCTCCACATATCCTATCCCTTATGGTTGAAACTAAGCAAATCATTCTTTCAATTGAGATTTTAAATCGTTGGAATCAGTCATATAACATAGGTAGCTTTGTGTGTCAGGCCATATAAATGTTGGTTCATTACTATTTGCTGGATTGTTGCGGTATTTGAATTCCACTTGTCAATTAAAATAAAAAAGATATTGGCTTGAATTCTGCTTGGTGTTTAGCCTTAATTCTCTTTATCATATGCCATTTAAGACTTGGTTCAATTTTCAACAATTGGTATTCCTTTTCCCTCCGAGAGTTAGGTCGACGAATGACTGTTTTGTGAGTTTATTTCACCTCAAGGTTTTGCTAATAACCAAGCTAGCTTAGAGTTTAATAACCTGTCAGTTTTAACACTTATCCCACATTTAAAGACATAAAAAGTAAAAAGGGCATACCTAGTGCATGAAGCTCCTGCTTAAGCAGGGTCTAGGAAAGGGTTGGTGTACGCAACCTTACCCCCGCGTATTAAAACTGACATAAAAAGTGTGGTAGGAAATAGTCTGTATATAAATTAGCAGTACTCATGTTGTGCAAATGGGCCCTTCTGTTATGTATTTGGAAGTTGTATAACTTGTATTGTCCTTTTGTCATCCAACTCATTCTAGACTTCCAATTATATCGTGTATATTCATCATCAGTTGCAGAACATTTCTTCTAGATGAACAATTGTGGAAAAAGGTAATTGGGTTGACTTGGTGTCCACATGTTGTTGCAGGTATGCCGTTATTGCCAGCAGCAGCCTGAAAAATCAATATGTTTTGTTTGTCAGACATCTGAGAATCTCTGGATTTGTGTTATCTGTGGTTTTGTTGGTTGTGGAAGGTAAGTTGATTTTTCTTTCTATGAGTGATTCTACTTTCCACAGAAAGGAAAGGTGGTGAACATTTTATCATCTGCAGTTCCTAATTTTTGAAATTTTGGTGTAGGTATAAAGAAGGACATTCTATAAGGCATTGGAAAGAAACACAACATTGCTACTCCCTTGAATTGGACACGCAACGAGTCTGGGATTATGCCGGAGACAACTATGTTCACCGTTTGATTCAATCCAAAACTGACAGGAAGTTGGTTGAGTTGAATCACTACTGTGCACATGCTGACGATGGTTGTGGTAGTTGCAACTGCAGTATAGATACTGGATTTAGTGAGACTCTATTGAACAGTAAAGTTGAAAATGTAATGCTTTTATTTATCATTTGCCTCGTTTAACTCTTGTTTTTCATGTTTAATTCATTCTCTCATTTTTATTTTTATTTTCAGTTACATTATTTTGCCTTTAATCTGCAATGCTCATTTTAAACTTTATCAGCAGATTGTCAATGAGTACAGTGAACTTCTTACTACCCAGCTTGAGAACCAAAAAATAGTAAGTCCATTCTTTGATTTATATAACCTAATGTGAGTTGGGATTGAATTTTGTGCTTCAGCTTGGCATTCAAGTTGACATTACCAACTTTTAGGGTGTCCCTGGAATTTGATTTTCTGGTGTTTTCTTTTCCTAGTCTATTATGATTTCTTGGTAGGGGCAGATAGTTTGGAGAATTTCTCTGTTTATCGTAATAATAGCCTCTCCTTTGCTCCCAGTATTTTGAGTCTTTACTGCAAGAAGTTGAAGAAGAAACTGAAAGGGAAATATCTGAAGCTATTGAGAAGGCTGCCACTGGCAATCAGAAACTGCAGAAGATGCAAGCCAAGCTAGATAAATGTGATCAAGAGAAGAGTTTTTTTGATGAGGTATATTTCTTTGTTGATTGTGAGTTTGAGAATCTTTGTCTATAGTTAGTTATTATACAAATTGACAAGGAGATGTTTTAGTTCATGAGAAGAAAATTTGTAAGCTGTTTCCTTCTGCATGTAGATCAACAAGAGTCTTTTGAAAAATCAGGACATATTGAAGGCAAGTATAGTGGAAATTGAAGAAAGGTATGACTACCTTCCTCTACTTGTCGTCAGTTCTGAAGCTTGTATGGGATGATTGATTTTTTCGCTTATCTACTACAATCTAGATTTTCATAATGGTAAACTGTTGGAATCTCCTGAGGTTCACATACCTCTTATCCAAATATTGAAACATAACACACACACACACACACCCCCAAAATAGGAATCAATAGAGATTTGAATTAAACAAGACGTATTCTTTTCAATTTGTTTCAAACGTCTGATTTCAATAGAGTGGAGGCCCTTGATATGATAAATAAAATGTAGGGTGATTATGATGGTAGTCACAGGAAGATTAGTTATGAGAATCCTGTTGAGATATGTTATGATTATATCATGTCAAATTGACTGTTAATTCTTATAGACCTGTCTTCTGTTAGCAATCAAGAATGAAAATTTTATGTTGTAAATGAACCATTGGGAAGTAAATTGGGTTTCTCCAATAGTCCTACTATATGAATTCATTGGAAAATTACAATTGAGTGAAATTCGAATTGGAATTTGCATATGATGTTTGCTGTTGAATTATCAAGCAATGTTGTTGATATTACTATCTAAACAGTATCGTGATATTAGGAAGAACTAAAAATGTCTATGATGGACTTCTTGATATGCGGTCCATCATATTACCATCCATTTGGCTTTAGAAAACAGCTTCCTATGGTTTGTGATTCATCCTATTGTCAAGTGGTGCTATGAAGGCTGTATTCTTGGCCATCAACAGCCCACTTTTGTGCATATTCCTGAAACTGATCACTCCTATTTTTTATTGACAAAACAACGTATAACCATCTAATCTTGTCTAACAAATTAAAGTTTATTACTGTTTATTCTAGTTTCCCATGTTTTTCACCCTCTGATTAGTATTATTCCAGGGAGAAGAAGACTTTAAAACTGAAGGATGATAAAATACGAGAATTGGAGGAACAGGTACTTACTAGTCAAATTACATAAGCTTTCAGTTCAAAAGAAAAAAAAACAAAACAAAACAAAACAAAACAAAGAAGAAAGAAAATAAAGCAAATTACATAAATTTCGACCTCCTACTCTTCCCATTGCAAGCATGCAACTTTATTTCACTGATGAATCTTTGTTATGTATGCTATGCAGCTTGGAAATTTGATGGTGTGCCTTGAAGCCGGTAGTACTGTGGAACAGCTGTCATAATCAGATTAAATCAAGGATGGCAGTATCTTGCCAATGCAAATAGAGTCCTCAAGAAATAGCACTCAACGGTCCACACAGGCTGATGCTTGGAGGATATTCTGGTTCCTGCTGTATTAAATCAAATAAAATGGCAACATGTTTCCGGTTGAAAAGTGGTCAAACATTTTTTTAAAAATTTTAGATTTAAAGGGGATTTGATTTGTAGTTTAGTTTAGTGATGTCATAATAGATGGTGATAGCTAATGAACGTTAACCAGCATTCTTTGTGGTTAATTTGGAGGTCCATTTTTTTTTGGTAAAGCTGACTACGTAAAGAACTATACGCTACCCGCACTTATTGTAAATTTTTATGTCAAATAGAAATGTCAATACAATTAGTGTACACAAGAATTTTATATTTGACTCTGGTATTTGTATAATTTAGCCAAGATATTTCAATATTTACATGATTATGAGACTAAGCATATGTTATTTGCTTTGTATTTTAGCTCCTTGCGTCCCAAGCCCATGTGGTACTGTTAATTTCAGGTTCTTGTTAGTTTTGAATGCGATTTCCGTGCCAAATTCTGAACATAAGAACATAAAATAGTGTGCTATTGATGGTGCATATATCTGCCAAGGCCATGTGTGTTATATTGTTAAGAATTTCATTTGCATGAACATGTTCAATATTGCTGTCAAATTCTTCTCCCGTCTGAGCTAATAGTCATAATGAATTCTAAATTATTTGCAATTAAAGATCTTGATAGAATATACTTGTAAAGTTTTCTCAGATTGAAAATTTTGGGGAAAATTGTTTATTTAACTAGTGTTTCACAAAGTTAAAAACTGATACACTACGTTTTATTTGAAGTCTTTTATGCTTGGAAAGGTTACTCTCTTCTCTTGTTTGTACACATTTAATTCGATGGAATGAACTTGAATGGAATGTCCACTCCAAATTTATATTTATTTTTTTTCGCTTGGCATGTCTTTCTTATTCAAGTGAAAATAGTTATTTCATTCCAATAAAAAGTGAGAATACATAGCCACTACCACCTTTACCCTATCACAGACTATATTTGTTGGTATCTCTTTCGTTGGCTATCACCACCATCCTGCCATCACCTTTACCGTATCATTACTGCCATCAGTATCACTACTACTACTACCATCCTACTACTATCGATGCCTCCATTATCTACCATCACTGCAACCACATCCACCCTACTACCACTACACCACAACCACTATCTTTAGAAGTGCAAGCAGTACGGTTTGGTTGTTATTCATGGAAAGTTTAATATTGAACCGGATATTTTATTTTTGTTAATTGAGGAACTAAAATAACCGAATGTTACGGTTCAATTTTGTTGATTTGGATTAGAAAGTGATTCACATAAGGTTTTAAAGAGTTTAATAATAATAATAATAATAAAACCTCAAAGAATTTCATATTGAGAATAAATATAAAGCAAAGTATGAAAGTTGTTCTACACATCCCTCCCTTAATGAAATATGTAGTATTGGTTATTTATATTCTAATGTTGAAAGGATTACAATATAGAAGTACATGAATATAATATTTTGGTTTATATCAATATAAAAAATTTCAAAACCAAAATAGATCTAACAGTCAATTCTGTTCCATCAGTTTTTCTTACACCCCTAACAATCCGATTACCACCACCCTACCACAATGCCAACATTGCTACCATATACCACTATCATTTACCATCACTGCCACTCAGGGCCGGCCCTGGGGCATAGGCCACAAGGCTATGGCCTAGGGTCCTTCAAAATAAACTAAAAAAATAAGCCCCTCCTATTATAATTTAGTGTAATATATTAGGTATGTTTTAAGTCTAAAAAAATTTAAAAAAACCCATACTAACTTAAAATAAATTGACCCATTAAAAAATTAAAAAGCCATTCAAAAAAATTAGCATTGTTATCCATTGAAAATAGACCCAAAAACGGGGTCTCTCTTATTATAGTTTAGTCTAATATATTAAGTATATTTTAAGTCTAAAAAAAATTAAGGAAGGCCCAAATTAACTTAAAATAAATTAATCCATTAAAAAATTGAAAGGCCCCTTTAAAATAATTAGCATTGTTATTTATTGAAAATAATTTTGCAAAAAAATTAGATTATGCAAGTATAATTGATTTTATAGCGATCCCGGTATTCCCTGTTATTGTTTAACTGTAATCCGGACTCGGTTCCATAGATTCGTTGATGTCTTATCCTCATTTCTATCCCTTACTCCTTGTGTTAGAGTTTTGGGTCGTGTTGGGCAAGTTGGGAATAAGTTGGTTGTGTTTTAAAGCTTTGAATTTTTGCCCAGGTTTGGTCTCTCCGCTTGAGCGGCGATTTAACGCTCGAGCGGGATTTTGTTGCTGCCTTTCCGCTCGAGCGGAAGTTTGGACGCTCGAGCATGAATTTCCTTCTCTCAGCATTTTGGACCTCTGCAGAAGATTCTGGGAGACTGCATCCGGCGCTCGAGCGGATCTTTGAATGCTCGAGCGTGAACCTGTGTCTGACGCTCGAGCGGGGTGTTGTACACTCGAGCAGACCTGTTTTTATATCAGTCCGTGAAATCACTTTTTGATCACTTTTTGGTTTCCTTTCTCTCTCTTACTTTTTCAAAACCTCCATTGGAGAGCACCTCACTCTAAAACCTAACTTCTCTCTTAGGATTGATCTAGCTAGAGTGTTTTCCTCACCTTGGGCCTTTGTAAGAAGTGTGTTGATCGTCGAGGGCTTCGTTGTGATCCAAGAAATTTGGGATTTGGAGCACTTTGATTTCGAGTCATCTTCTCCATTTGAGTTCTCCATTTGAGGTAGGGATTCTCCTTGTTCTTTTTCAATACTCCGTCTATAGATAGACATGTGGTAATTTTTGTATTGCATGAAAATTGTATCATGTTGGATTTGTTTGAAAATCATGAAATAAACCAAGGGTTGGTTGTGTGGAGAATGGATTTCATTGTCTTTGGTTATTCATTGGACTATTTGTGGCGTAAAATAGCATGTTGTTGTTGAAACATAGACAAGCCCTAATTTACATGTGTCTTGATAAATTAAAAGAGGGGTTTTGTTCTTTGGGCAAATACTTGTGTATTTTGGATCTCAAGCGAGGTCTTTGTTGTTTATTGTTGATGATTGAACCTTTTTGTCAATGTTGAAAAAGAGGGAGAAAAACCCTAACTTAATGATTATGACTTAATTTGCATAATTAATTTGGAAAGTTATGAAAAGGAATGGAATTGATTCTGGAAAATGAGAAAAGTGTTTTTGAAATAAGTGGTGGAACATGTTGATTTGGAAAAAATCATGAAAGTTGATCTTTGAAAGTGAAGAACGAAACTTTAACTCTATGTGAGACATAGAAAATAAATATGGGAATTGGGTCGTTGCGTTATGCATGTCGAGTGCGTTTATTTGGGGGAAATTAGTTTGTAGCTACCATGCTTGGGTTGTTGATGGGTTTGGGATCTCATGATAATTGAGTTTCTTAATAGATGTACAGTATACATGCATCTAGAGGTTTTGTGAGGTTTTGTCCTTGGTCATTGGTGGAGGATGTCACGGTTGCGTTGAATTGTCGTGTATACATTGCACCATGGTTGATTGAACATCTTATGTGATGAAATGTTGATATGCATTATATATGTATACTTGTTAGGGAGGAGAGAGGGGTTGTACTCCAGTGTGTGCGAGAAGATAGGGGATGGACTCCACACACCTATGTGTTCATATACCTTAACACATTGTTGGTATCCGGATAGTTTATATGTATGTTTTACACATGTTGGTTATGCCTTGTTGTATTGTGATTGTTGGTGTTATACTCTGCGCTGATAATCAGAGGTACTGTTACCTTCCAGCTAGCGCCTGGTAAACTGACTGCGCTGAGAATCTAAGGTACCACACCCTTCCAGCTAGCGCCTGGTAAACTGGTATGTTGTTGTGAGAGGGGTATCTTTGGCTTACTACGCACATAGCTAGTAGAGCAAAGTTTTGTTGTTGATATTTCACTGTGTTTGGGAATATCATGGATTGTGTTGATTACGGTCTTGGAGGGCCGAGTTGCCTCATTGGTTTATCTTATGCCTGTTGGTGAGTTGTTATCTCTTTTATAACAGTGCATGTATAGATTTGATTGTATCGGGAAGAAGCCAAAATGTCATATTTGTCTTTTGGAAAGTGTGAAGGAAAACGAATTTTTTTTAAAAAGAGATATGTATTTTGAAGAGACACATCTGTGTATGTTTGGGAAATGGAAAAGAGTAGAGGGCTTAGTGAAATTACCTCCTAAGTAATTGTTAATGTTATGAAAGATTGGAAACGGGGATTAATGAAAACAGAAGAAAGTTGAATCACCTATGGCGTTGATTGAAATGGTTGTTTTCAAAAAAAGTTCATACTTACGTATATTTTGTGTAAACTGTCATATTACTATTCTAGTATGAGATTGAGCATTCATGATCATAGCTATCTGTATGTTGTTATTGTTGAGGGCCATGTTGAGATCCCTACTGGACTATATGTTCATCCCACGCTGTTGAATCTTTTTCAGGTATTAAGCGGGTTAAGCTGCAAGATTTGGATCTTCTTATTTGTTGGCCACGGGGCCTCTTTGTTGTTGGCGGAATGCCATTGTTGTAAAAGGGTTACACCCCTCTTCTTGTACCTTAAGTGATGTAAGCCCAAGGGCAATTTATTAAGAATGTTCATGTAATATTTACTTTGCATACGAATGAGAGTATTGTCAATCACTTCTACGGATTGGATGTATGAGTTTATTTCCACATGTTATCCTTGAAATTGAATTAAGTTAATGAATTTGGTAATGACTTCGAGTAATAAAAAGTGGGGCGTGACAACTTGGTATCAGAGCGAGCCGGGTTTGAATACTTTGGGCTCGTGGAAAGTGGTTTTTACCACAGTGGGTTTACTACGTATTGTGAGGACGTTGCATATAGATATCATGAAAGTTAGGACTTATGTGTTGCATTTATGTGAGCATGGGATTCAGTCTCTTGGATAATATTCATAGCCGGTGAACTTGCTTTAAGGTCCTTTTGGAAACACGCCTGATCAACGTGGTTTCTGATGGGAATTCCTTGAGAGTTCCGGGATGAGTGGCTATCTTTGTGGACTTGATTCGATTATGTGTTTATCTGTCTAAATGACTGTATGCAATAGAGATGTATATTTTGTGACTAGTGAGTCTTGTGACTTAATAGTAGTAGAGTGTGCCTCGGGAAAGGCTATTGTGTTGTGCACTAAGCGTGGTATTTATTTTGTGCTTTATAGGATGTCTACACGAGGAAGTAGAGGACGATTGAGTAGTAGGAGTGTCGGTAGGGGCACGGCAGCTCCTTTAGTACCTGCCG